ACCCCTCCCACCGCCCCAAGTACATTACACTATGCAACCTTAGTTGTGGACTCCTGTAATAACCATAAGACCCTATCATACATTGCTTTTAAATTATTCACTCCCTCATCTGTTTCAGTGCAGTATACACAATTTATCCAGAAACATGTGCTTTTGAGATTGCAGCACAGCTTCTTGCCACAAAGCCACCGATCTCCCTTAGAGAATAGTAGTTCTAAACCACTGATTATTTGGCCTCACATTCAGAGTTTCTGATTCAGTAGATCTAGGGTTGTGGCTCAAGATTTTGCAATTCAAATACATTTGGCAAAGTTCATAGGGAATTGTACTGCTAACCCATCTCTCTGGCAATTTGAATCCACCAGTAGCTGTAGGGAAATGACTCAGAATCTCCTCCCGTGTGATTTGCAGCCTGGAAAATCCAATGGCGTATCAGCTAAGAGTCAGTTATCCCTGGGGGACAATGAGTGAGTGAGTGTGTGAAGTTTCCAAGGTGATGCCAAGGCTACACACTTTGAGAAACTCTGTTTTAAGGGAATGAGAGAAAGATACAGCTTATGGGGTCTCTTAGGAAGTTTCAGATTGGATTTGTAATTGAGTCTTATGGGAATTTATAGAGGATCCCTGGGGGTGAAGTGATTAAAGAATTCGGCTGCTAACAAAAAGGTTGATGGTGTGACCCTAATGGGCTCTCTGTAGGAGAAAGATGTGGCAGTCTGCTTCTGAAAGAGGTACACTTTTGGAAACCCTACTCTGTTCTATGGAGTCACTAGTGGATGTTTCTAGGAAATGTGAATGTGCATATCTGCTCACTTGAATGCATACATGTGTAGGAGTGGTGGTGGTGTGGTGTGGAGGGTGTGAGTGCACTCATGTGTCATGTTAACTATGGTTCAGTGAATACAGAGAAAAGAACTCCAGATGCCTACAGTTAGGAAGTTCAATGTGTCCCAGTTCGCAAGCAAATGAAATGCCTTTCAACTATCTTTAAGGCAGCATGTATTTCATGAAGGGGTTGGTAATATAGCTTAGTGTGTTCTTTCTATGCTCTTAGAACATGCCCAGGTTGTGTCTAATCAAGGAAAAATGTATGATCGTAAATCCTCCTTTTAACTTCAGGCCCCAGTAGCCACAAATTGTCCAAATAAACTAAGAAGGTTGCCTAATGGACCCCCGAGATGATTGTAAACTAAACCTCCAGCCTGGGAAATAAAAGTTGACTTTAAATTTATTGTCTGCTTGAAGTTATGAGTATGGGTAATGCCCCAAGTCATGACTTGGAGAACTCTAATAAGAACAAGCTGTGCAAAATTGTGTTCCATGTGTTTTTTACTTCCACACACACCTCTTAACTTGGGACCAAGTCAACAAGAATTTTGAAAAGAGCGTTGTTCCACCAGGTTTCTCCAATTGTAGTGTAATGGCCATGCTAAAGTCAGGCTGAGTTCAAATGTAGCTCTTTGGCTGTGCAACCTCCGACAAACAACTTTTCCAAGCCTCTGTTTCTATAACGGAAGAAACGATAGCATCTACCTCATGGGATTATTTGAATGTTTTAAATGAGAAAGTCTAAAGTGGTAGAACATTGGTCTGTCCATTTGCTGTACCCAGGTAACTCATGGTTGCTGTGATGCTAAACACTGACACTGATGTGTCAAATGCAATAATGGTTACCCCTGGTGGACAGTGTTTGGTGGAGCTTCCCGATTAAAACAAGCTTGGGAGCAGGAGTGGCATCCACTTCCGAAATAGTTTGCCTCCGGAAACTCTAGGAATGTGGAGACATGATGAAAGTTATACAAGTGTTCAGGTTTCTCGTTCATAAGGTCACTATGAGTCGTCTATGACTCGACAGCACTTAATAAACAACAACATATAAATACTGAGAATAGTGATTTTTACAGAATAAATGTTCATTCAGTACACATTAGCCAGCTGTCACTATCTAATATTATTATTTCTCCACTCACGTCTCAATCTCTTGATGTAGATTAATTCTTTCTTTTCACAATCTTGGTTATGTTGTCAGTTCGACTGTGTTAAAGATCAGAGCCTGAAACTCCTTTTTCTTTTACAAGCTTCATAAAACCTTGAACAATGCTGAATGTGTAGTTTGTGCTTATTGCAAGAGGAGGTACATATAGTGTTGAAGGCCCTGGTGGGACCAGGAAGAGTTGTATAATGTTGGGTAGGACACTTCACCTTTCTAAGACTCTGCTTACTATTCCTATAGTTCTTTGGAAGAGTGACTGATAGGTGCTTATGGTAGAACTTACGTTGAACTTGGTGAATGCTCAGGAAATGTTCACACACCCCAGGATGTAATCTTTATGGGAGCAAATTGCCAGGTCTTTCTCTTGAGAAGCTGTTGGCTAGGTTTGAATGACCACCTTTTCCATTAACAGACAAGTATTGAGAGAAGCAATAGATGGGTGCCTTATTCTGGGTCCTTGATTTATCATTTATGACTGACTCGCTTCTATTCCATCTAGGACATTGAACTCTAAAAGGCCTCCAGTTCACCCATAAGCTTACTTTTCTCAATGTATCCTTCTCCATATTGCTGTTTGATGTCTGGAGAGAGTTGCTTCCAAATGGCACATTTTTTTTCATTTGCCTTGATTGGATCTGCCATTCCTGTTTGGAAAAGTCCTGGTTCAATGCAGGAAACATGTACTCCAAAGGCCTTCATGTCCCGTCTGTGAAACAAACACACAGATACCCGTTGAAGGGGTTTAACTCAATTTATTTACAGAATGTTTACAAGTTGGTTGATGTTTTCTTACAAACGGGGGGGGGGGTGGTTCTAGTGGAGTAACCTGGGGAGTTGTGATGCTGACTCACAGGTGCACATCTTTGGTGATTCAGATACACAATTTGCTCCAATAAGAGTAATGTGGACAATCTCCTCCAATGAGATTTACAGTTTCAGAAGTCCACTGGAGGATCAGCTATGAGTCAGTTCCTGACTTGGAGCCAATGACTTCGATTCTTTCTGAGTTAGGAAACTTTTTAAGGAATTACAGAATTGGGTGTGTTAAAAGGAGCATTTTCTTCTATTCATTTTGAAGATGAAGAAACTGAAGGTCAGGGTGGTGAATTAAAGGCTGTTTAAAGGCAAAGGATCTGAACAGATCCACCTTCAGATCAGAGTTTTCCCAAAGCCATGCAATCTCATGTAATTATTGAGACTGCAGACTTAGGACAGATTTCTTCTTAGTTCTCAGATCTTATATTGAAATGGACTAAAGAGTATTCTGAAAGAAGAAGTTTCCCTCTATTCTAGGAATGTCAGGAGATTGCAGCACACATGATGACAAATGAAGGACACAGTCAATGTCCATGACATTGACAATGAGAATCGATATGACTATAAATAGCTCCCTACATCACCAAGCAAACACTTTCATCATGTCTATGCAAAAGAACAAACAATCTACACTTTAAGATTTTAAAAGAATCATGATGTATTTTCCCCCCTTTAAAACAAGGATCCCTGGTACTACAAGTGGTTAAGTGCTTGACTGCTAATCAAAGAATTGGATGTTCAAACTTATTTGCTGCTCTGAGGAAGAAAGATGAGGCAATCTGCTTCTGTAAAGTTTACAGCCTTAGAAAACCTACATGTCAGTTCTGCTCTGTCCTTTATGGTTGCTATGAGTTGGAATGGACCCTACAACAATGAATTGGGGTTTTAACCTCTTAATTGGAATCTATTGATGAATAATTATTTCCTAAACAAGGCTCCAGGAGTTGACAGCATACCAATTGATTTATTTCAACAAACAGACACTGCCCTGGATGTGCTCACTAAGTTGTGCCAGGAAATCTGGAGGACAGCCAACTGACTGGAAGAGATCAATATTTGTCCCCATTCCAAAGAGAGGTGACCCAACAGAGTGTGGAAATTATCGAACAATATCATTGATATCACATGCAAGCAAGATTCTCCTGAAAATTATACAAAAACATATTGTTTGGAACAATATGTCAACAGAGAACTGCCATATGTGCAGGCTGGATTTAGAAGAGGTCATGGTACTAGGGATATTATAGCTAAAGTTACATGGATCTTGGCAGAAAGCAGAGAATACCAGAAGAATGTCTATCTGTGCTTCATTGACTATGCAAAGGCTTTTGACTGTGTGGCTCACAACAAGCTATGGCTTACTCTGAGAAGAATGGGAATCCCAGAACATTTGATTGTGCTAATGTGAAACCTATACTTGGACCAAGAGGCAGTCAAGAAAGGGGTCTGTCAGGGATGTATTTTGTCTCCATACCTTTTCAATCTGTATGCAGAACAGATCATCTGAAATGCTGGGCTCTATAAGGAGGAATGTGGCATCAGGATTGATGGAAGAATCATCAACAACCTGCATTATGCAGATGACACAACCCTGCTTGCTGAAACTGAGGAGGACCTGAAGCGCTTGCTGCAGAAGGTCAAGGACTGCAGCC